AATTATGGAGCGACGAGAGGGTCCTATAATAATGGAGCGACGAGAGGGTCCTATAATAATGGAGCGATGAGAGGGTCCTATAATAATGGAGCGATGAGAGGGTCCTGTAATTATGGAGCGACGAGAGGGTCCTATAATAATTGAGCGATGAGAGGGTCCTATAATTATGGAGCGACGAGAGGGTCCTATAATAATGGAGCGATGAGAGGGTCCTGTAATTATGGAGCGATGAGAGGGTCCTGTAATAATGGAGCGACGAGAGGGTCCTATAATAATGGAGCGATGAGAGGGTCCTATAATTATGGAGCGACGAGAGGGTCCTATAATAATGGAGCGATGAGAGGGTCCTGTAATTATGGAGCGACGAGAGGGTCCTATAATTATGGAGCGACGAGAAGGTCCTATACTAAATCAAATATTGTTACATTTGTCGGGGAGTGTACTGTATGACCGCAAAAATTTAATAAGTTGACTTTTCGCTTCAATTTATTAAGTATTAAAGTTGGTAATAAATAAGCAAGTGAAAATACAGGGTTGTGTTTTGTTATTTAACCCATCGTGGCTCTAGGTGAATCAATCAGTGTAACGTTTTATATACGTATGTTTCGGCACTAATAAACCCATAGACAAAAACGAACGAAATCACGAACTTGAGCCTTACCACTTCCTGCACGGTTTTCTCGAGCACACGTTCTTATTGGTTTCATAGCCTTACGTCACCAGTAAATATACTATAATAGCAATCCTGTATAAACAACTGATTTATCTACTTGTTCTTGTAGGTTATACCTGAACATATTGGTCAGTTTTATTTCTTGAAGTCATCTGTTGATGTTCTGGAAGAGACGTTTTTCTATTTGATTCCTAGGGTTGTACAAGTAGAGACCGATATGGAAGATGGAACACACAGGATAGCGACATTAGAAAGAGAAATGATGGAAGTTATCTAATATTACAACACTTTACGATCAAATATTTATGTGATTAACTACATGTTTTTGGCGTGTTTTAACTAACGACCCCGTGACAATAATAATAATAAAAATAATAATAAAAATAAACACTGAATATATGTAGCGCAAAAACACTCTGTTAAAGTTTCTATTGCGCTTTCACACAAGTTTTCAGTTCTGGTAAGGGGAAGCTTCATTGAATAATAATGTTTTTAATTCCTTTTTTGAAAATTATTATTGATCTTGATCATCTGTTGCTTTGCGGTAGAGAATTCCAATTAAGAACCATAACTGTTCCATACGAAGTTAGAAGAATGGCGAATCGATGTATAGCTTTATTTTCACATGTCCTTTACAGTATAAACACGTGAAGTAAACAAACAATGTCTAAATAAGGATGTTAGGTAAATGGTAGGGTGGTCCACTCCACAGCCTCAAATATTTGTGTTTATTAAAGGGACAATAACACACTTGCTGGCTTGACAGCTCCAGAAAATAAAAAATAGCCTTATTCTAAGTACTAGATGTGTTAGTGTCCTATCTGTTGTGTAAATTATCCATTAAATCATATTTTACTTGTCCAAAGGGTTCAAAAATATTTTTAAATCCAAGTCACATTTGAAAAGCTTTACGTCAGGCTTTTCAAATCATTTAGTTGAATTTTTCCATTTTTTTAAATTAGGTGTGTTAAGATGAAATTTGTATCATCAATTAATAGGAATACTGTAAAATAGTACAAGTTGTTGACCAGAATAAAGATTGGGACATATTATTCTGTTACAACAAGAGTGGTATTGAGCCTTTAAAATAAAGACTGACCTGCTTGTCAGCCTCTTGCATCTGTAATCACTAGTACGTGAATGAACACAATTCAGTCACGGGATCGCTCGTGCACTGTAGGCAGCAAACATTCGTCCAAAACAGACATTCACGTGACAATATTCATTCACTTATTCATCAATCAATGTAGCCATGAAAATATTTCTTCTCTACGCGTTGTACTTTACAAAAAACCTTGGCTAAAACTCGGCGATTCTATTTTTAATTTACTTTTGGCGTTGGACATCTGACCAGTTCTCGAGAGGTTAAGGGACCAGTTCTAATAGAGAGGGTCAGCTGGACCTCTTGTTTTAACAAGAAAATGACCCACCCTCTCTTCTCACGACAGCGATTTTATAAGTGTGTGTTTAAGGTGACTTTTTTTTATATATATAAGGACTTTTTTTTGGTATTTTTACCCATATTCAATCCTTTAAAGGAGCTAAATCGCTAACATTTGGGACCTAGAAATTCACAAAAGTGGGTCGCAACGCATATAATACTGTAATATGAATGTATATAAACTGATTTACATTTAATGGTTTCCATTTTTACTCCAATTTCAAATTAGTTATGTTCGGCGAAATAAGTCAGCAATCTCAATCGAGTGCAAATTTCTAGCGTCTAGTTATTCTAGTCTACATAACTCCATTTGATTTGGTGCAATGTGTCTAGCCTCGTCCCTCGAGTCTCTCAATACAACTGGGGCTGAAGCGCATTATGGTACACGATTCGTGTAATAATGTTAAAAAATTATTTTATCTTAAATATCGGATATCAGAAGCTCATCTTTTCCCGGTAAGTTTACATCATCAATGTTGATTTAAATTGACCAATAATTCGTGTTTTCGATGTCGAAGATTTTGGAGGATTTTGAGTTACGGACTTAGGTCCTTTAAGTATAAATAATTTAATTAAATCAACCTGTCCATAATATCATGGATTGTTCGTACTTGGTTTTATTTTATTGAACGTTAAATCTGTAATAAACAACACCAACAACAACGAGAGGGTTAGTTCATATTCCTGAAGCAATGGCCCGGGAAATCCCCCTCTGGCCATTGCTGGGATGGCTTCTGATATTTGAGCTTTTGAGGGAGTGTGTATATTCTTCCCGTTCAATCAAATCTATCCCAAGTACAGTAACATGACAGCCCTTTGTTTAATTTGGGGTCTTAACCTTAAACTTTGGACCTGGATTTAAGGTATTAAAAACGGTGAAAGTATTGTTTACATTGTAGCAGTTTTTCCGCAATATTCTGCTATGCACTGGTTAATTGGGCGTTATAAATTTCGTAAGTCATGACGTGGTGTTATGTAAACATATTGGAGCTCCGTTTAAAGAGGAATGATATAAGTACGCAGTTAATTATTGGTTGTTAATCGGACTATTGACCAGTCATAATTTGGAACAGAAATTTGCTTCCATTACAGCAGTGTTATATTGTATTAGGTCTAATCAAATGAAACACTGCGAGAAGCATGGGGTTGGTTATGACCAGGGGGTCAGTAAAGACCGAGTTGGGACCAGGTCCCGAGTTTTAAGGCCTGAGGGCCTAACTCTGACCAGGGCTGGCTCCGACAACACAAGGTAACTAGGGTGTCATTAACTAAGGAGTCTTGTAACATTATATGTTTAGAAGAATAAAAGTATTATATGGAGTTAAATCAGTGCTAAATCAAGACAGAGAGAGATGGGGTTTAACGTCCACTCGACACAAACTAGGTCATTTCGGGACTAACATACATGTATGGTTTAATTTTATTTCATTAATTAAGGGTCTTTAACAGTAAGAGAAAAACTGGGGGTCCCGGAGAAAACCCACGAGGTTGTACAGGCGACCTACTCCTTGTCACGTACAAGCGGAGAATCGAAACCACGCCACTTGACGCAATGACAGACCTTTTGATGGAACGCAAACGCGGTATCCATTCGGTCACGTTTCCCCACGCCCTCCCCCCCCCCCCCTACATGAAGCAGACGAAAAAAGTTGATAAATATAATTTTAAGACATAATACATTGCATTTTTCTGGATCTTTTTATTTCAAGATTTTAATTTCAAATATTTTCAAACGTAGAAAATATTTTCATAAGAGTTCATATTCTAGGAATGTTTTAAAATACCTTTAATTCCTTCGGCGTGTAATTATTTTTTAATTTCAATATTAAAATTTGATGATAAAGTGATGTTACTAATTATAAACTCCTGAAAATGAAACATAAACTCAGCCACACTGATCAGGAGTGAATATTCGCTAGACCGCGACAATCACTCATAAGGATGACACCAAGGATGTCCCGATTTGAACAGAGCCTCAAAAATAAAAGTCTGAGTACGTATGAAATTTAAGTGCCAAAATATAGAGGAATGGTGTATTTACCTTGTCTCAAAATTTCAGCTCAAAATATTGAGTCATTTGGACGTGAATGCCAAAAATCCTTATCCGGACACGTAACCTTTTTAAAATTTTGGGTCAATTTTTTCTTTGACTAACCTGATAATCGATTCCCGTTCCTTTTGAGGTATATACAGTGAATGACACATCTGCCGTACATGATAACGAAACGTAAATTTCACCTACACATTATTTTTATAAAATAAAAGCCCGGTTTTATCCAGACATCGCATAATACAGCTTGGGACGCCGGTCTCCATTTCCAGATGAAGACTGGCGGGTTTAAATTGTTTAAAAACGTATCACAAATATAGAGTTAGTTGCTCGGCCCTTAGGTAACGGATTTTAAGGAATTGTAACACAAATTTAAGCAGTTTTATACCCCAAAATATTATCGGGATTGGCCCTTTAATGAGTCTCGAATATTAACTTTTGTCCTCCGACTAATTAAATTCTAAAACATTTTTTTATGTTTGAAGTATTTGTATTATTTCCTATATATTGTAAATGGGTATTAAAATGAGTAAAAGGCGCCATTCTACTCGAATCAGTAACGTCTTATTTAAACAATGCACGCGCCTTTCAGCCAATGATTGCCGCTGCGTGATATGACGTCATGTGTTGAAGGCAGTAATCTTTTACAGAGATATTAGAAGACTTTTGTAATACTCTGTGAACAGATTGAAACCCAGTTTCTTGTTCAAAATGTTGATTTTGTCCTTGGATTGTTGACATTAGAATGTAGAAACAACAATCATTAGCTTAAAATAATGGCTATTGATTTAAAATTCATTAATAATGTTCCATTTGGTCTTCCATAGATTGCCGTGGTTCCCACATCGCGTATTGTGTTTATATTTAGTAACGATGACCACAGTCATTTCTTAGAAAGAATGACATATTTTATGAGTACGTGGAATAGTAGTTTTACATTTTAGGCCACAGTAAGTTATTTTAATTTAGGTTACGTCTCTTCCTCTATTTTTTATCGAGATCGTTTTGAATCTACATGTAATTATAGTTCGTATCGATTACCTGCATATTGGATCTATAATATATATGGGTTTTATCTGATTGATTTACTTCCTGGTTTATTAGAAATGAAATGGGATTTAACGTGTATTGTTCTGCTCCGAACTGGGCTATTGAAGACGGGCATATGCCATACAGTGTGCTATGAGTGAAATTTTGCCTGGACAGCGCCACTACGGCCTACTCTTATATCAAATTCCAACTGCCAGGGGATCGATCGTTTATGCGTACACGGGACCTCGGTTTTGCGTACCATCCGAACCACTAGACAGCTGTTCTTGTCAGGCCCCCCGTTCTGCACCACTGACAAGGGGACAATCCCAATGAACTTTCTCGGTCAACACCGGGGGGCGAAACCGCGACCTCCAGGCTAGCGAGCCAGAAGCTTCTTACCCACTTGGGGGGTTGGATGGCTGAATGGTAGCGTGCGCGCGCTGTATCATACAGTCTGTCATTGAGTCGACTGGCGTGGTTTCGAATCCCCGGTTGTACGTGGCAAGGAGTAGGGGCGCCTGTCCAACCTCGTGGGTTTTCTCCGGGTCCTCCGGTTTCCTCCCACTGCTAAAGACCCCTGTGCGCAAGCGAATTATGTAAATAAAATTAAACCCTATGTTAGTCCCGAAATGACCTAGTTTGTGTCGAGTGGACGTTAAACCCCATTTCTCTCTCTCTCTCTCTCTCTCTCTCTCTTACCCACTTAGCCACCGTGGCTCCCTGGTTTATTAGATCATTTTACCAGGATACACTCAACTCTTCAACGGTCCTAATATATTTTGCTTTTTTGTTTAATTTGTACGTCATATAAATGACCTTTTCTGTTACATAATTAAATGTGTCCTTTGTTTGAAGTTGATTTATTTCAATGGGTCAGGAAAAGGGGAGTTTGTCAGATTTACCAAGTTGGTATGCATGAATGTTCGCATTATGAAAAGGAATTTCAGACAAGTGTTTCCTACGTTAGATATATTTCACATGCACACCTGCTGATTACCCCAAGGTCACGAGATGTAAACAGGGTTAGAGCACGTGATTATTGCCGAGGATTGTGGGTTAGGGTAAGGTTAGGGTAAGGGATAGGATGGGTCTTGGGTTAGGATCAGGGTTAGCGCTAGTCCTGTTACATCTCGTGACCTATGACGAAATCCGCAGGTGTGCATGTGAAAGATATTTAACCGTGTTTCCTGGGAAATTTCCGAGGGGAGCCAAACAGTTGGTTCGTCTCGTACAGAGAATCAGCTCATTCAACCGATGCAATTTGTACTATTTGGGTAATGCCTCATATAGCATCCTGGTTGTGCATGCATACCTTTTAGAGCACGACACCAGTTTGCCCATTGACTAAGCTGACATCATATCGAGTAATCATAGATGGGTAGAATAATCAGTACAATTATTAAGCTCTTACATTCTAATAACCACTTTGAATAAGCTACTTTACATTTTACTCATTACATTATCGACCTACATACCCGACAGTGCGCAAAGTAGAACATGTGCCTTATATGGATCGGCCACGTGATCATCTACAAACTATGGTGGTTGATAGTGACCATGTAAAATCTCGTCCTTTGGATAACACGACAACACGACATCACGACAGTATTAACGCAGTCATACGACAAAATAGACTTGCGATATTATCGCCGCGTGATTGCTGTTGTAAGTCAGTGGTTCTCAACCTGTTTTGTCAAAGGCACACCTTGGAACACATAAAAAAAATAGCGGCACACCTGGCTAAATATATATGAAAAATATTTGAATTTTGAAAAATAAAAAAACATAGTAAGTCAGGCGGAATACAGCCGTAGACAGCGACTAGTCATAGACACATAGAATGATTCAAACTAATAGCTATGAACTTATCAGTAGACACCAGTGAATACTCAGTTGGGATCACCGTGGTTTTTCACATTTTCTGAATTTCGCGGCACACTTAGGAAGATCTCGCGGCACACCCGTGTGCCCTGGCACACTGGTTGAGAATCACTGTTGTAAGCATTACAGTAGGACACATTACTTCACATAGGAAGCAGAATAGATAAATATAATTAAGGATCGTACAAAAGAGATAATGGGGGAATGTTGATAAATTTCTTCCTCAAAATAATGTATCTAAAGAGAACTTTCATCGTAAAATTCCCCGAATTTGTGTCGTTTGATGAGAAATAAAAGAGATAATAGGGAAATGTTGATTAATTATTTGTTTTCTCTAATAGTAAGTGCAGGGGGACTGCACCACACAAGATTTACACAAAAACAAATACACGGACAGGACATCATACTCAGGAAAACACAAACAGACGGACAATTCAAAAAAGTGAATGGATCCGGGGGCTAGCCGTAAGCGTCCACTGCGCTGCACAGTCCCGGGTCTGAGGTGACACAAACTTCACTCAAATTTGAAAACAATTAGGAATACAACCCAAAGAACCAATTGTGTAATGCAGCATGAGTCATGATCTGCTATATGCCACAAGAAATACGAATGCAAGCATATGTAGTCAAATTCAACTATACAAGTAAATAATGATGTATCTGTAATAAATTCATAGTAAAATTCCCCGAACTTGCGTCATCTTCTGCGAAATAAAAGCCTGTAAAGTTTTGTTTGACGTGTCCTGTATTCAGTTCTATGACATGTCAGTGATGCAGGACGGGGGGTCTGACAAGGACCGCCTCTAGTCGTTCGGGTGGGACGAAAAACCGAGGTTCCCTGATTACATTGGCATGCACGTAAAAATCCCTTGGCAGTTGGAATTCGATATAAGAATAGGTCATAGTGCCGCTGTCCGGGCAAGATTTCCCTCATAGCACATTGTATGGTTTATGCCCGCCTTCACTAGCCCAGTCGGAGTAGGACGTTAAACCCCATTTCATTTGATTTCATCTATATGTGGTGAGTACAGAAAATGTTTACCAGCACCTGTTGAACTAGAACATATTGTGTGCTCAGGCGAATTTTATTAATTTCCATCTATAAAATTGTGTGAATGCTTTAATAACAAAAGTCATCATCTGATCTCCTTTCAATTGATGTTCTTTGTTTCCATTTTTGGCATGAATAACAATTACTTGTTTATACATGTATATATAGAATAATTTACTTAAAGAGTTATCGCCCTTGTTTATATATAGAATAATTTACTTAAAGAGTTATTGCCCTTATTTATATATAGGCTGGTTTGAGCTCGCCAAAGATACTACACAATAAATACAAACAACAACTCTATGTTTACTTCAATATTCAATACGACAGATTTATATTGAATTTCCGGACGACTTAGATATTATAGGCATGTGTTTTGTTGCCTGGCACCCTATCTTATATTCATCTAACCGTATATTTGTCATCTTTACATGTTGTATTTTGTACTTGTCAGGTATAGAATGAAACGAAGAAAAAGAAAGAGTCAAACGAAAATATTTAAAACTGAAGTTAACATTGATGTTGACAGATCAATATAGTACTTTAGAAAAACGCTAGCAAAATGCCACGTGTAATTGGAAAACTTCCTGGTGACCAATATAACACTATAGTGGCTAATTACACCGATCTTATAGACGACATTAAACATGACCCTGTTGGTCTTGCTCATTCACTGTTTCAAAGGTGTGTCTTCGATGAGGATGATGTAGAAGTAATAAAGAGAGAAGAACGATCTGCTTCTGGTAGTAAACCAGATGCTGCTGCTAAGCTGTTGGATATTGTTCTATATTCTGGTGATGCAGCTTATGGACAATTTATTGATGCACTAGAGGAACATAGATATTCCGTAACAGTTAGACGATTAAAATCAAGTGAGTAATGATTTTAGAATTAGAAAATTACCTTTTAGAAATAACATGCCAATTCACAACAAATACTGTTCAGGCTAGAATCGGATTAGTTTATAATTAGCCTACAGTTCAAGTTTGTCATCTACATACAATTTCAAGATACACCAGGGGCGGGTCAAGGGGGGGGGGGGTCCAAACCCCACCCTGCTCAGCTACATACAAAAAATTGTAAAACAACACTTTATGTGGAAAGGTGTAACGGTCGTGTGCTTTCCCCTTTATCATCAGATGGTCAGATGGGATTCGCATTCAAAGCGCAAAATAATGATATAGAAATGTGTGATATCACAATTAATGCTTTGCATCAATGAAATTGAATCACAGCGTGATCCTATTAATTCATTGTAAAAGTTGACATCAAACGGGGTGTTGGATTTCTCTCATTAAAAAGTTTAATGTGTATGTATGCCTACATAATTTAAAGACGATGATGACATCATGCATTGTCAACTGTCAAATTTCCTTAATATGAGCCTAACAAACCCGCTCACCAGCAAAAATTCCTGGATCCGCCCCTGTACATAGATGAAAAATGGCGACTTGTTGCTTCTGTTATACAAATTATATTACAGATGAAATTTGACACATACTAATAACATTATTACGACATCGATCATAGTGACAGTAATCATTGTAAAGGTAAAAACAAATATTTATGTCTAATTACAGACAAAGAATTAAAAGAAGTCCATGAACCGAAGGATGGGAATCCCGTTGATAGTTTCTGGGAGAGTGGGGTGGTTACAGAAACACTACACGTCAACGTGGAAAAGGGGAGACCACCCGAGGACATTTACAGCAAGATGCGTGCCAATTATGTTTTCCTTACCGATGAAATTAAAAAAGATTATAGGAATGTAATGTGTAGTTTACTTGATTATAAAGCCATCAATGAGGATGATGTGGAACAGATACAGAGAGAAGCGACGAGACAAGATGGTAAAAAAGCAGCCGCCAGGGAAATGTTAGATATTCTTTTAAACCGTGGTGAAACGGGTTATAAGAAATTCATTGAAGCACTTTATGCAAACAAATGTTTCAATGCTGTATTCAGATTGGAACCAGGTTAGTTATGATTAATTATTATTAGTTACGATTTTATAAGTTTAAATCAGTCAGAGTATGTAATGACATTATTTAAAGGAGTTAAATCGCTAATATTTGTAACCTAGAAATCGACACAAATGGGTCGCAACGCATATAATAATGTAATGTGAATGTATATGTCTCAATCGAATGTCAATCTACACCGATAGTATTTATTGCGCATACTCTCCAGATAAGAATATGGCGTCACCGTTTGACATGATTTGTGGAATATGTCTAGCCTCGTTTTTCGAGTTCTTTTGTTACAAATGGCGTGGAAAGGCTCTTTACACGATTCGTGTACTAATGTTAAAATGTTTATTTTGTCTTAAATTGTTGATTTAAATTGACAAATAATTGGTGTTTTCAATGTCGAAGACTTTGGATGATATTGAGTTAGAGACTTAGCTACTTTAAAAATAATTAGTGGTATATGTATATTTATATAATGCAATGAAAGTATCCTGTCCGCTTTCACCGACAGTTCTTATGGGTCAAAACATGTGCCGTCTTTACACGGGGTGGAAAAGCCGACTTTCAAAACTTATTTTGGTTTCTTTGAGTTTAATAGTGACAATTTTTAGCACCCCCCCCCCCCCGCGCCTCCGATCAGTTGACCATTTTTTAACGCTATATCTGAATAACTATTTATTAAGTCAACTTTTATGTAGACTTTCTATGTTTATTTCCCCTTCAACCCTCCATTTGATCGATAAACGTAATAATATCATAAATCATAATTCTACCCTGCGCTCAGTTGACTTTTTATGATTAAAGAAATTTTAAAATAATTTTTTTTATACGTTTAACACTTCATCTGAATAACTATTTATTAAATATGTAAAACATTTATGTTTATTTTCCCTTCAACAGTTCATATCTTGAGAAAATCATAATTCATAATTCTACCCTCTCTATTTACTGAAATATGAACTGGTTTACACGGGTTTAGGGGAAGCGAAGGCGAGTCTGGTATACACTTAGATAATTTGCCACCACCAAGATGTGTCTTAAAGGATGCATCCCCACGAAATAATTTATAGAGGATTTATTTCCAATTATAGTATGACAAATTTATGTGGAAAGTTAAGACACACATCTGTCGGCTTTTTGTCTGCTCGGGCGACGTAGGGAGTGCTTCGTGTGAGTTGATTGAATGGCTAGCGTTTGTGAGAATAGTGAGAGACTTAAACGACACTGTGATTTGTCTTCGCTAGTTATTCCAAATGAACATTGTACGTGACAAAGAGTAAGGTCAACTGTCCAACCGTGTTGGTTTTCTCCGGGTCCTTCGGTTTCCTCCCACTGCTAAAGACCCCTACGCGCAAGCGAATTATTGAAATAAAAATTGAACTATATGTTAGTCCCGAAATGACCTAGTTTGTGTCGAGTGGACGTTAAACCCTATTTCTCTCTCTCCAAATGGACAGTGAGAAATACAAGCCATATGTGGACCCCCCCCACACACACACACACACACACACACAAACACACACTCATTTAAGTCACGTTATATACAAGTGGGGTAGTTTCTTGCGATTAAAATGTTTTTGGGGGGATTTGAAGCAATCATTGGATACGCGTATCGTAGTTGTGGCATATGCGATGTTGGCGTGCAACACATGTTGGTTTATTTTTATTTCTTATTGCTGGAGGTTTTCTGTGATATATTGTATTCTCAGGTTTTAATGCAGATGGGTCAGACGAACCAGGTATTACTACAGATAAGAAATTATTGACAGGATCACAGGTGTGTATAGAATCATATTCTTTTCTAATTGTTGAAGTCGTAAAACACCTCCCCCCCCCCCCCCAACAATCCATTATATACCACACCTCAGACAGTTAAACTTTAGATTTGTGCTACGATTGAAATCGTGGTTTTGATCGTGGTGGTCCTATCAGTGTAAGGTCTTATCACATATTGAGGTCAGTTGTAGAGAGAGAGAAATGGGGTTTAACGTCCACTCGACACACACCAGGTCATTTCGGGACTAACATATGGTTTAATTTTATTCCAATAATTCGCTTGCGCATAGGGGTCTTTAGCAGTGGGAGGAAACCGGAGGACCCGGAGAAAACCCACGAGGTTGGACAGGCGACCCTACTCCTTGTCACGTACAACCGGGGATTCGAAACCACGCCAGTCGACTCAATGACAGACTTTGTGATACAGCGCGCGCACGCTAACCATTCAGCCATCCAACCCCCCAGGTCAGTTGTAGCAATGGTGTTGACTGTATCTAAACGTATCCAAACGTATCCAAACGTATCAGATCGTAACGCATCGCACAACAGTGGGAACCTATAACATAATTGTTGAACTCGCACCACCGACCCCTATCCATTATCTACCACACCTCGGACAGTTGAACATCGGGGATAAATGATATCAAATATGAATCAATTCTGTTAACAAGTAAAGCATATACAATTTTATAGGTTCATATTTTATTTGCCATGGATGTGTAGTCCGTCCTTCAATGTGAAAGTGATTGTCCTCAACAACGATTTTCGTTAATATAATTAATTTATACTGTAACATGCTTAAGAGTGAATCTTGTGTTTTGATTGGTCAATTAGACACTGTCTATTGGACAATAACCCCCCTCTGCTTTAGTAATTTCTTTTAAAATCCTAAAATAGCTTGTTACAATGTCGATAAACACTTCCTGTTTGGCTTTTAGAGGGGTGTTATTGTCCAATAGACATGTCCTGAGATCATTAGGACCCAAGATGCATTAGCGTTGCAAGAAGACGCGTTCTGATGTAAAATCTCAGGACATGTCTATTGGACAATAACACCCCTCTAAATGCCAAACAGGAAGTGTTTATCTCCTAATTAACAGGGCAGTGTTCATAGATTAACCCCGCCTCGATTTGGCGACAATTTGAAGTACCATAATGATTTATTCTGTGACTAAATTAAGTAATTGTACTATTCAACATGCCAGATATTTTTACTACAGGGAACCTGCGTGTAGTGGTGACGGTGACTCCAGTCCGCTTAGTCCCGCCTTACAAAACGTTAAATTTTTGTCCGCCTTCACATAATTTGTGTTTCCCTAGTTTTCTAACATTCCTAAAAAAGAACTTGCGAAAGTTGGATATGCTCCCTACCCCGCCTCAACACACCACACCCACTCACTCCCTCCTCAAGTCAATGTTGCAAATGGTGTTATCCCCCTTACACATTTCTGTCCATTTCGTCTCCAAACAAACAAGCAAACTTTGTGTTTGATATATATGTGTGTTAGTTGTATTTTACGTGCACTTCCACCTCAAGTCGATGTTGCAAATGGGGTTTTCTCCCTTAGACATCCTTTGATATATATATATGTATGTGTGTGTACAGAATGTTTAATATTTCAGGTAAAAGGAGTGTAGACGGTTCCCGATTGAGGACATTAAAAGCTATGGTTAACTTGTAGAATGTAGCCTACAGAATTAAAAGTTCACAAAAAAAACTTTTTTCTAAAATCATCCTCCGAATCGACCCAAGCCAATCCATATATTCAGACAGGTTAAAATGTATTACATAAAACTAATTCTAAGTCAATGGTTAGCTTATCCATGTGCCAGGACACAGACTAATAGTTATCCCCGCATGTCATTCCAACGATCTTAATTGTTATGTCTAGAAAGAGCCCATCTGATAACAAGCAGTTACCATGCAAGATACGCCCATATGTACTAGAAATAGGGGAAATCAATAGGACTGATCCGCTCAGTGTCCCAATGCTTCCCATCGAATTTGATGCGCACCGAAATCAAACTTTTCCAAGATCTTTTGAAAATGACAATGAAATGAGATGGGGTTTAACGTCTTACTGTTTTTTTCCGACTGGGTCAATGAAGACAGGCATACGACATACAGTGTGCTATGCTATGAGGGAAATTTGCCCGGACAGCGGAACTACGGCTTAATCTTATAACGAATTCCAAGGGATCTTTTACGTGCACGCCTATGTAATCACGGAAAAAAACGAAACGAAATGTAGATCTGTATTATAATCAGACTGTTTGATTCGTCATCAAAAACAGGGTTAGTGTTAAATGACAAGGCCAGCTCAATTTTTCGTCATAGGATAGAGAGAGAGAGAAATGGGGTTTAACGTCCACTCGACACAAACTAGGTCATTTCGGGACTAACATATGGTTTAATTTTATTTCAATAATTTGCTTGCGCGTAGGGGTCTTTAGCAGTGGCAGGAAACCGGAGGACCCAGAGAAAACCCACGGGAATTCGAAACCACGCCAGTTGACTCAATGACAGGCCTTATGATACATCGCGCACGTGCTAACCATTCGGCCATCCACCCCCACCCACCCCTTCGTCATAGGTAGTCACGAGATGTAAACAGGAATAGCGCTAATCCCAGCCCTAACCCTTGACCTAGCCCCTGTGCTTACCCTAAAATTATCCTACAATCTCGCCAACAATCAAGTGCCCTAGCCTTATTTACATCTCAGCTACCTTGACAAAAATTGAACCGGCCTTAACAAATAGATTTAGCCTCATAAACAGATAATATTGTGTCATGTTTCCCAGGCCCCAATGTCATTCCGGTTGTATACATTTATATCAGTCACTAAAGAAATTTATAACACATGGTAAAATACTAGATATAATAAGGAAAAAAACAATTTATAACACGTGGTAAATACTACATACAATAAGAAAAATAACAATGTATAACATGTGGTAAATACTAACTATCATACGAAAAGAATATTTTTTTAACACGTGGTAAATACTAGATACAATAAGAAAAGAACCATTTATAACACGTGGTAAATACTACATATAATAAGAAAAAGAACTATGTATAACATGTGGTAAAAACTAAATATCATACGAAAAGAATAATTTTTAACACGTGGTAAATACTAGATACAATATAAAATAAGAACAATTTATAACACGTGGTAAATACTAGATACAATAAGAAAAAAATGCGATTTATAACACGTGGTAAATACTAGATACAATGAGAAAAAAAAACAATTTATAACAAGTGGTAAATACTAGATACAATAAGAAAAAGAACAATGTATAACATGTGGTAAAACAATCTGGTATATACTGTATACATTAAGATAATAAGATAAAAACAAAATCTGGTAAATGCCAGATACAACAATTTATATAGATAGATAAACGATGCTCAGTAAACATTAATTTAAATCAATTAATGGATGAATGATAAATCCCATGAACTATTTATCTATTTATGAAATTAAAAACACAGTGCCAACATTGGAGACACTATTATTATTATTATTATTATTATTATTACGGCATATTTATAGTGCGCCCTTTCATATAACATGTTCAGGGGCACTTTACAAAGTGACAATGTAAATCATACATAAACTACAAGGTTATGGACATGTTAACGATTGTATACAGTCAGTTAAAAGCCTAATTAAATAAATGTGTTTTAAGTTGTTTTTTTAACAGAATATAGAGATGTACAACATCTTAAACTAAATGGTAGATTATTCCATAAAACAGGTGCTTGAAAACTAAAAGAGCATCAACGTCACAAAATATTCGAGACCTTTTATTTTATTGTCTCCGAATTATAGCCGACACTAGTGTGCACGCATGCGTGTTGTCAAATGTTGTACCAGTTTTAGAATATCAGATATGATTATAAGGGCAAATGGCAGAACAGCGAATATCAGCCCAAAATAACCAACAGCAGCTGAGCTGGTCCTCTCATCTTTCTGACTGGCTTTCTTTCTAATAACAGACGACATTTTACTTTTGTCGAGGGTTAATTCCTTGTTGATGCTGCTGACAACTTCCTCCCTCATTTCAGATTCAGGTGTCACCACCACAACGTCTCGACATACCCGCGATCTCAAAACACCGTCAGACCCTAACACAGCTACCCCAGTTGACGAAGGTTGAAGATGAAAGTCAGCGGTCTCTGTACATGGCATCACTACTGTGGTGGTTGGTGAACATGGCTCTACTACTGTGGTGGTTGGGGACAATGGCTCCACTACTGTGGTGGTTGGGGAACATGGCTCTACTACTGTGGTGGTTGGGGACAATGGCTCCACTACTGTGGTGGTTGGGGACAATGGCTCCACTACTGTGGTGGTTACAGTACTTAGCTCTACTGTGGTGGTTGGAGAACATGGCGCCACTACTGTGGTGGTTGCAGTACTTAGCTCTACTGTGGTGGTTGGAGAACATGGCTCTACTACTGTGGCGGTTGGGGAACTTGGTCCCACTACTGTGGCGGTTGCTGTACTTGTTTCCGATACTGTAATAGTAATAAAAAATATGTTAATTTAACGCTAAATCTATAAAACGTGTCCATGGCGCATCATACAATGGTGTCGGACAATATAATCCAAATAGTTTTGTTTTGAATTCAGATTTAAATTGGCTGAGTGATGGATTTCTGTGGCGGTTTAATGGTGGTTTATTCCTCTTTGTAGATGCAGCGACTTGAAAAGCTCGACCCCAAAACGACTTTAATTTCTACTGTGGAACACAAAGTTTTATCTAATCTAGAATGGGACAGACATTTTCAAGAAATCTCACAGGTACTTCGGAGCACTTCCATCCATACATTGATAGGCAAAAGACAATGTTTGGAAATCGATCCTTGCTTGAAGAGACAATCAGATCATCTCTCACCCAGCCTATTCTCCAGATGTAGCTCCCTCTTCCCACAACCCAAATCTGTCCCCGGGGATCGCAGATTTAGGGAGGATGAGGAGGTCACCACTGCTGTGGAGGAGTTTGAAGGGTTGTCGGACGGTATAAATATGCTGGAGAATACATAAAACAAGAGCATTGATGTCAAGGTGGACTATGTTGAACAATAAGTATAACAATATCCATATATATAGATCGAATATTACTTAGAGGTTTGGGAGGCACCCTAGTATATACTTACATATTGATTTTCTACAGTAGATGGTGCCCTTATGCCTTACATTCTCATTCGCCCAAATCCAATCAATAGTTGAAAGCTGTACAAGTTTTGAGTTATTCCAATGGGTGTCGTTAAAACTGTAATAATGTTATTGAGATAGGATAACTATAAAATATTTTAAAAAATACGTTCAATAAAATGAAATCAAATGGCCGGGTTTAATGTCATACTGTTCTGCCCCAACTTGGTTAATGAAGACGGGTTTCTCCCACTGCTAAAGACCCCTATGCGCAAGCGAATTATTGAAAAAAAATTAAACCATACGTTAGTCCCGAAATGACCTAGTTGTGTCGAGTGGACGTTAAACCCCATTTCTCTCTCTCTCTGGTTCATGACGAAGGAAACCTTGACATTGGACGAACCTTGAACTTTGGAACTCGATTATCACAGGTAGACATTTTAGCTGGAAAGCGCGGGACTTGGTATTTGCGATGATCGAGGAATTTGATAGGCCTTCAAGCTCGGTCATTACAAAATCGAAATTAGTGTCGAAATATGCAGGGTATTACGTGAAGGGCTTGATAAGATGTACGTAGTTAAAACGAGATCATGCCTTCTATTGAAGGGCTTGATGAGATGTACGGGGTTAAAGCGAGATCAAGCCTTCTATTGAAGGGCTTGATGAGATGTACACAGTTAAAGCTAGATCAAGCCTTCTATTGAAGATGTGGCTATCCATATCGTGAGACCTGTTTTATATAGAACTTTAGCCGACTTTTCAACTTACCCGATAGTGTTCCAGTCGTCTTCATAGCCATCTGAACATTTCCAGCTTGTATCAGTCCTAACTCCGTTACTCAAGCCAACGTTAAGGCCATGCGCCTCTTTGATATTATTACATTTGATGGCTACAACTTTAGTACTGCTTGATATGTTGATGGTTGACGGGTAATACCTTTTGCTATCATTAACATGTGAATATGGAACACCATCCGCGTAGAATTCCATTACATCATAGCAGTATGCCTTTCCAGTTATGTTTGGATGGGCTACATAAATAAAATATAGACTATATACAAAAGAATTTAAATGAAATGGGGTTTAACGTCCTACTGTTCTGCTCCGAACTGGGCTAATGAAGACGGGCATACGTCATACAGTGTGCTATGAGGAAAATTTTGCCCGGACAACGGCACTACAGCCTACTCTTATATCGAATTCCAACTGTCAAGGGATCTATTACGCGCACGCGAATGTGTACGCGTGACCTCAGATTTTCGTCCCTGCCACTCTCGGACACGATCCTAAAGACATTTTTTGGGACATTTTCTCACGTTGTGTTCACGTTTGCCGGCGACCTTGTACATTTTCTGGTCACTGTACGGTCGCAGCAGCGCAGTAAAGACGCCATCCCGGTCTGACGCTGGCATTATATACAAAACACCCGCCAGTCTAGGTGAGGTCGTTATAACAACATAACAAGGACGTAATCGGAACGCCATCTCAGCGGCAACGTAGTTGAGCGCGGTATGGTCGTGGCTGTGCGTCGTCCAGCCGTGGAGTTAGCGTGAAAGAGCGAAGAAGGGAATGAATTGGGTGTGGTATACGCGTAATGGGAACGCGAAAAAAAGATTAAAATGTCTGTGATTTTGCGCGTTCAGAGAACGTAGTCACCTTTACACTTGAGGGGGTTTTCCACGTTCCACCACGACCTTGCTACGCTCTATAGAATGTCTGTGCGCCTTTAAAGCGTGTAGCGAGGTCTTCGTTATGTGTGAACTGGGCTTTACCATTAGCAGTCAATACAAAAGTCAGGCGATTTGAATACAAACGAGCCAAATTAAGAAACCAGATCCATTTGAATACTGCTTTCCAAGGGTTTCAAACGGTATAGTGTCTAATTCAAACCTAGATTTGTGGCGATACGATAAATAAATCAAATCCCTGGTGACATAAGGTGTTCCAAAAAAGGTCAGTACATCTATACCAACTTGACTGGCTGTGTCCGGGTCATATAGCAAGGTACTGTACTGTTTAGCTTATATTTAAATGGCGTGCTTCTTCTTTCTGGAACACCTGGTGTCACGTCTTATTTGGGGAGTTCACATGGTACACAAAGTATACATACTTCTAGTGCTATTGAAGGACTTTCTACAATAGATAGTGCCCGCACCAGTTAATTTTTCATTCGTCCAAATCCAAAATGGTAGCACTGAAGCATTTGTCCAGGTTGTGTCGTTAAATCTGCAATATCGTAATTGATATAAGACAAATATGCAAAAAAGAGAGCGGGAGAGATATGGATCTGGCCACCAATTCACGATGCACGAAGTCGTTAGGGCAATGCGTGACGATACGGGAAGACAGTGGGAACTATGCGTGTTGTGCGTGACACTGCGGGACATTGTAGGAGAATGCGTTACGGCGAACAATGCGCGAACAATATTTAGCCCTGGGATTCTCAACCACATGATCATCCCAAGTGTGCCGCGCGAAATTCTTAACGGCACACTAAGAAATTTCGAAAAACCACGTGATCCCAATTTAACCAATTAAATATTTACTGACATAATAGCTGTGTTTTTCTTTATTTAGTTTGAGCCATTCTATGTATCTATGGTTATAGTCTGTGTACTGTCTACGGATGTATGCCGTCTATGATTTGCAATGTGTTTTGGGTTGGGTTTTGTTGGGGGTTGGGGGGGGGGATTGTTTTCCAAAATTCAAATAATTTTCATATATTTAGCCAGGTGTGCCGCTATTATGTTCATGTGTTCCAAGGTGTGCCGTTGGCAAAAACCATGGATTTAGCCTATGCGTAAACAAGTAGTGCTATTGCGTCTCAATGCCCATTTCATAACTTATGCGTGCACAATGCGCGAACATGACGCAAACACGGCTTCACGCGAAGCTGCCTGGTAAATAGTCCGATTAACAACCAATAGCTAACTGCGTAACAATATCATTACGCTTTAAACAGGGCTCCAAATTGAACCAAATATGTTTACATAACATTACGTCATGACTCACGTTGTGTGACAAACGAGGCTATCAAAACGAATACAATGTAAACAATACTGTTTGGAGACGAACAATACTTTAATGCCTTTAACCACTGTCTAAAGTTTTAGGGAAGATCCCAGATTACACGAAGGGTTGTCATGTTGCTGTACTTGGGATAGATTTGATTGAACGGGAAGAACAGACACACCCCTCAAAAGCTCAGATATCAGAAGCCAATCCAGCAATGGCCAGACAGGGGTTTCTCGGCTTATTGCTTCAGGAATATGTGAACCACGCCGGAAAATCTTCCTCGGCCAATGCAGGGATCGAACACCCTACCTCCAGACTAGCGACCCAGCGTCTTACCCACTTAGCCACCGTGATCCCCCTGTAGCAGGAAACCGGAGTACTCGGAGTCAACCCACGAGGTTGAGAAGGCGCCCCTATATCCAAGCCACATACGCTCACACCAGGGATCGAAACCGCAACCGCAAGCC